CACCGCCCATGACTGTCGCTCTCTCTCGCACACCTCAGGCAGCGGGCGGAGCCCGACCGCCCATCGCAGAACTCTGCCAAGGACATTACAAAGCTTTCTTGCAATTACTAAGGCCATCTGGAAACGCCCTTGTGTGTCGGTGGGTACAATTCGTGCAGGCATTCTGTGTGCTACTATTGAACTAGACAATTGAGCAGTATTATCATCAACCTCAACCTCCTTTTGCAACCACATGTCCTCAATCTCAGAGGTGTGGTACGGAGGATCCCCTGTAAAAAGTAAATGTTGGAGATTAAGAATTACATAACTACTTTATTGTTATACTTTTGACATGTGTAAATACCTTTTTCTTGTCTCAAGTGGATCATGTGCCTACAAGGTAGTCTGTAAGACATTTTAAATGGGCAGTTACACGATCCTGTGCTTGTTCCATACTCTTTTAATGTTTCTTCTTGGACCTTAGTCGATAAATCTAATTGCTGAATCATCAATTCGGCAGGCAGTTTATGGAAGTCAGAAAGAATTTGTTGCACATTTGGATCTGTGTTTCCAATTTTGTACTGGTATTTTATAGACTCCATTGTGTCTCTGAACATGACATCATCTTCTTTAGTTTGATGCAGATCCAGCAGTCCTTTGATACATTCATACAAAGAATTCTCATGATTCAAAACCTGCATTTGGATAAGCAATATTTATAGCATATACATTTTGTCATTCAAATACAATAATTTACAGAAAGTACCTGAACTGTACTTACCATCTTTATCTTGCCGTTATGATTTTCAAGCCGGTTTGAGGTAGTATTTCCTAAACAATCTTGCCGGTCTTTTGTACACCATGCCTCAGGAATCTTCAGCCAATTGTCATTGAAATAGGTGAAAAGTTCGGGGTCGCATTCTTCTTCTAACTCAACAACTAGAGCCTGGAATGTGCCATCATCTTCGGCATACCTGAGCTTAGTCAAAATACTCAAAACTTCCTCACTATGTCCACTTGCCTTTTTTGTGAAAAGTTTTGACACATGGAAATCGCATAATTGGATTCTGGCATTTGGAAAAACTTCTTTAATTGCCCCAATTTCAGAGTAGTCCTTGTCCACAACAAACACTTTAATTTTGTCAGTTGTTTCTTCACCCATGGAAGCCTTCAGGCAGTCAAGAACTTTATGCAGTGTTGTTTTCAGTTCGTTGTGAACAAATGCATACCCTACTACACGGCCACTGCCTTGGCCGTCCATGGCCATAAACACTACCACTGGCATTTGGTTCTTATTTACCTTGTAAGTAGTGTCCACTATCACCAATGTAGGGTACTTCCTCAGGGTGTTTTTCATTGACGATGTTTGAAAGAATAGGAATTCCAACAAGCGTTTGTCATCTTGACCCAAATGAATTGTGGATGTTGGGTCTCTGTCGGCAAGTTGTTGAAGAGTATCGAGAAGCTTTTCTTCCTCAGTTAAGCCACCCATCTCAGCTTTTTTCATTGAGGCTCTATGATACAAAATAAGATTATCAGTGCATAATTTACAGACCCAATAATAAACTTAAAGAAGTCACTTGGGAGTCACTGACTGATTTTTGACATCTAACTGAGTGACCTTCTGCAATTCTGCAAAAAGTTACCCATTAGGAGTCAAAAACGAGTCAATGACTCCCAAGTAACTGTTTCATGTTTAATAGGGATAACAAAAAGCAATGCCACTTAGTACTCACCTCAGATTAGAGATGTCTCGAGCTGTGAGCTTTTTAGAGCTTTCATCTGCAAGCAGCATTCGAATGAGGGTGGGTTTCACCTTCAATTTTAGCAGTTTTTGTACTGCCTCAGCATCTTTTCCTGTGAGTCGTCTAGACTCAGGGAATGCAGCTTTCACTTCAGGAGTAGTAGGATGTATGTGATTTAAGTTTAATGTATCCACTATTAGTTTCTTCACATTGCCATCATATTTGAATTTTATAAAACCAGGGCAGTAGATTTTCCAAGAGCTACGGAATAAGACGATTTGTAATCATTAACATGATTACAATGATAATTAACAATGTAGGATAAATGGTACAGTTTTCACAGGTGACCAGAGTCACAATGTGATGATCACAATGTAAATCGTAATCCATTTTCGCAATAAGTGTAAACCAACAACAAAAAATATTGTATTCTTTATAACAACTGTTACTTTAACCCTGAATTAACCTCTATCAAGCCATTGCTTTGAAATAGATCAATTTTCAAAAACAAGTGGTTTGGATGCTACCCATTAACTAAAAGTATGACCTATAAGGCTTGATCACTGTTCCATGAGCCCTACTAAAAACGCCAATGAACATACCTTTGGTTTGGTCGATCTCCAACGCCTTTGCCCACTCTTTTCCTGCCTCCACATTTACAAGTCAATGTAACATATAAATATTTAAGTTTCTCATCAATAAGCGGACGATTCTTTGCTTTTAGCGTGATATTTTTATCTGCTACCAATCTAGAATTTCCAACCACCCATGTAGTATTTGTTCGTTCTCCATACTTTTCAAGAGCTTCCTCCACATCTGTCCATGCAGAGAATTTTTGATCTTTTCTGGGAACCCAGTCAGACTGATTCTACAAAAAGAGCATAAGATTTCAAGAACACTTGAGTTACAATTAACAAAACAGAATAGAGGAGCCCGGAGCCCCAAATAACCTAAAAAGATTAGGATAGAGATTGTGCACATTTTGGTGGCAAGACTTATGCCCTGTGTAACTACAAGCGATTTGTCAGTACTCACCTCCACCTCCATGTTTGGATAACTAGAACTTGGGTGCCATCAAGGCATTTAAAAATCCAAATAACCGAATGACACTCAGCTCGAAAGCACGTGGGATCAACGTCGGGAGAGGAAAACGGAAAGCGAACTTCTAACAGGTGGGAAAACCTCTGAAATAGAGAAATTACAGAAAAGAATTTCGATCTCGAATTTCAACGTAAGAAAGTAAACAAACTCAAGGGTTATGTTCAACTCGATTCGTAGTACTTATGTTGATATCGATACTTATCTGACAGATATTTCATTAAATTTGGTGTAAAATTCTTCAAAAGTAAGATTAAAAACGATGTTTTGTACAGAACCAATATTTAATTCGTTCCAATAACAAACACTCATTAATTTGCACGAGTCGTGCAGCGAAAGCAGGTTTTGTTATTCGCCCTACAGGTTGCACTCGATCGTGCTAATAACTGTTCGTCCCTTACGCGCACGACACCAGTTGTGCGAATAATATGCACACGCTTCCGCGCACGAATCGTGCTAATATAAGCAGTGTATTTCATTTGCTTTGTTTTCTTCTGTTCCAGAAACTTGGTCCCAATTTGATACCAGAGAAGATCAAGTGCATTTACGTTACCATCAATACTATACCATTCTATCCTATTTGT